TTCTATCACCACAGTTGAACAAGAACGAGACACACACATCAGACTCTGAAGGCAGGGGACGTGGCTGACATGAAAACAGTCTAAAGTACAACAGTGTCTTGAATGTCAAACCAACGATTAGAAAGAACCAAGTTAACCCTGCATGAATACAGCACACTTGATAGGCTGACATGAGACTTCTAGTCGTGACCTGTGTGTGTTTGTGCTCAAGACAAGGTTAGTGATCAGAATATTGTGCGTATGACAGACAATTTGACAGTGACTAGCGTGAAGAGAAATGCCGAATATAAGTGGGTTGTTCTCGTCCAGAACGTGTGAGTAAGCGTGTGTACCGGTTGACATTTTGTGCACACCAACTACTATCACTTCAACAAAAGATAATTTAGCAGACTCAGCAGCTAACACAAAGATGGCTGGCGCTAAACATGGAAAAGATAGAATGATAAAAATGTGAACAGGTTCCCAGCGATCAAGCCTGTGTGTGTGTCGTGCATACGGTGCGAGTGTGTGAGATCCTGGATTCATTTCTCCGCTCGATCAATGAATTTACACTGCAGATGAGACCCAATTAGCGGGAAACAGTTGTATAGTTGTATAGTCCCCCCCCCCGTAGCTCTTCGGTTCACGTTTTGTTTTATCTGTACAAGACAAACTTCACTACATAACCGAGTCAAATATTCTATTATTCGCAAGTAAAACAAGATTGACTGAGTTCTGTAGGAAGAAAGAAAAATTACGCACATGTGTAGACATTATATGAGCGGATAACCGACCAGGAATGACCAGGAATTAAATACTAAATAAGTAACAACTAATGGATTCACTAACCACTGGAGAAGTCAATACAATCAGTGAAAAAAGAACAGCAGAACACCTGTGTCCCTGCACTGATCAATGTTATTGCATACAAAGCAGTAATCTAAAATCACACCGAAAACCAAAATAGCACTGGAACTAGGACAATTGGGTTGAAATCAAGGGGAAAAAGAAGGATAGAGGCAGTTGTCTAGTGTTTGCACATACTCACGCATTACTTAGTGTACTGAACAAAGTTGTTATCTGATTGCCGATTGGTTAAAAAAACTGTCACCGAGTGCTTTCGTGGTTATGAATAAACCGGATAGCGCGGCTTTCTAAATGTCCGAAGCGATGGCACACTTATTTTAATACCACCTTGTGTGCTTAACCCCACTCAGTGTCAGGGCATAAGTGGACGGTTCCATTGAGGATAACCACTTCCACTGTTCATCACAATGACCGGGTACACAAAGACAGTCCGCTGCTGCTCCCATTTAATCCTACGACAATAAAAAACAGCACCACTACAAAGAACGCTCGTACGGAAAATATCGATCACGTGAATGAACATAACGGTATTCGTTGAATGCCAGCTCTCGGAAAGATCCATTTACCGCCGACGTTTTTAGTACAGTGCAAAAAGGCAAACAGACTGGTGTTCTTGAGAATAAGTCACCCTGTCAACAGATAACAATACGTCACTAGTTAGACATACCACTGAGGGTCAACGACAAACTAGCAATGCACTGTCCCGATTGGGACTCACCAAAACAAGCGTGTTACCATTTGATTTCATGTATAGTGTACTTAACGAGTTTGTACGGACGACTGTTGATTTCATCTAGTGGACTGAGAAAATTCAAATTACGAAGAGTTGACCACCCAAACGATGGCACATATGTGGCATGTCATGTTAAACACCCGACTGGAAGAAACACAAATTGCCATATAGATTTAGGTGGTGACACTCGAGTGACAAATATTTTACCGTTCACCGAAATGGGATCATCGGACGGAAAACTCACACGTAACCGGATAAACTCATGCGGCGTTGGTTTGAGCGAAAACAAACAAAAGCAAGGGAACAACTAAAAAGGTAAGGGAAGTACATGAACGGGCTCGTTGACGTACCCAAATTAACAACTGCAGCGAGGCCAAATCCCCGAGAATGGCAGCAAAGTGCAACGGGTTGCGTGAATCGTCGGGACTGTAGGCAGCGTTCAGATTAATCATAGTCCCATCCGTTCCACCTGGACCAGGATTGGAGTTGGGTTGTTGTTGTTGATGTGCCGGAGCCGAATTGCCACCCAGCGCGAGACACATGAGCAAAGTGCGTGAGTCCCGACGCACGAGGGCGTCTATCAACTCCTGATGTACCGGACGATTGGTGTGCGGGAGTGGCGGAAGAAACACACGACGGAGGTATTTGTTTTGTATCCACGCGGATCGTACTTCTCTAGATGAGGTGGGTTCCGGTTTCCTAAGCGTAATGAGAAAACAACAGTTTACATAGCTATTAATTCCCAACAAACACATCTGATCATGTTTCACTGAAAGGTTTCAGTATTTCTCCTTGTAACTGAAAAGGTAACGATAACTATGATGTATACTATGATGATACATTGGAATTATCAAATGAACAATTCTAAACTCTCTCTCNGAAATCCATTTCAGTTTGCAATATTATACTTATATATAGATGGCTATGAGTTAAGGGTAGTTATTACTGACTTTATCTCCAACATCTATGTTCTTAGTTCTTTTCTGTCACCGTTTGAAGTTGCGTGACCTTGAGCGTCGCGATAAAAATTGTAGTCGTTCAAAAGGTAC